GGGAATTTTTTTTTTTCGAGCTATAATATTTGTGTGTTATATATGCCCGCGAGTAACGCCAATAAGTAGTGAGTGTGGTAATATATTTCCAGAGTGTGCAAACCACTCGAGAGAGAGAAATAGATTACTTTCTATGGGCCCCTCTCTGTTCAAAAGTTTTGGACAAACTCTCTAAAACAAAAAAGTGCCCACTATCGCGCCAACCATACCGCCACAGAGTCTTTTTATTGTAGGAGATAAATTAATTATAAGTTTCTCTGTACACCCCCAACCCCCCTTTTTCTTTAATAAAATTGAGTTAAATACCATATAAATATATTTGCCCCGCCATACAGTTGAAAACTTTCTCATATATATATGAGGAGATTCTTAAAGTGATATTTACACATTTTTATATAGATACATAAAAATATTTATTTATGTATATAAACATAGATTTACATTTTTACTTTTTTGGGGGTGGGGGTGGGGGGTTTTTTATTTATGTACATATACATATATATATATATATATATATATATATATATATATATATATATATATATATATATATATATATATATATATATATATATATATTACTTATTATCACAACGAAAAGGATTATGTTTTCGGTGTTCGAACATAATTTACTCATTGGTTGATTCTTAACAAAAATATGTGTTTCGTCCAGCGATAATTAGCTTTAATATGAATAACCAAAAAGAATTTGAACACATCTTATGATCTGCAATTTTAAAATATCTCCCCACCACTACACATAGGCTTAGTTGAAAACAATTATCACGCACACGCTTATGATAAATGGATTTTGAATTTTAACATATTCCCACAGGTGTGAAGATGCATAATTTCGAATCAATTTTTTTATCCATAAGGTTATAATCATGTCAAAAAGAAAAAAAAACAAATATCATATAGCATCAAGGAGTACTATCTTTTTGTCATAAAAAAAAAATGCAAATCTAGGGAAGGAATGGAAACGCAAAAGAGAGCAACATAAAAATGTTTACCACTACGTTATTTCAGAGATGTAAAAGAATTACCAGCCAATCAGAATTAACATAGATAATTAGTAGATATAATTCAATGGAATGAATAATTTACCTCAGCTTCCTCGGCTTCTTCGTTAGCTTGAAGCAACTCCAGTTTCATCTGCATCCCCTTCTGCTTTTCTTCGTCGCGCTGCGATCGGTAATTGCTAATCTGCTTTCCAGCATCCGAAAGCTTTTTCTTCCATTTCTTTTCCCGCTTAAGGCTTTCTTTCAATTCCCTCTCGGTCTCGGATCCATTCAACTTAACAGCTTCAGCGTCTGCTCTTATCTGGGCATTTTGGGTCTCCAGCCTTCTTACAGAATCAGTGACGAAGTTTGCTTCAAAATTCACTTTGCGGAAATACTGTTCCATCGCTGTGAGCTTCAACATGTGTTCTTTTTCAGCATGCAGTTTTTCATCTTTCATCTTATCCTTTTCCGAACACGCCTCCCTCCTTAAAAGATTCAGTTCCATGAAATTTTTACTTAACCTTCTCGCTGTATCTACCACTTTCCTCTGAGCCCATTCTTTCTGCTCCTTCGCTTTTTCTTCCAAGTCTCTGGTACTTTTTACCAGATCTACTATCAGAGCATTTTTCGGTTCATCGGAATTGCTGTCCAGACATTGGTCGAGATATGTCTCATAGGAACAGCCTGTTGTGGGTGCGAGAAAGTCAGCACACACAATATCACTTGTAATAGCATCTTGCGTAATAACTGGATCCCCAGCTTTCCTCAGCATATCATCTCTCAGGCTAAGGACATTAAATGCCAAATAAGATTCTTGTAAAGGTGTATAATTTATTCTTTTCATAATTCCCACCTTTTCATAAGACCCGTGAGCTGGAATGCTATCAGAAATCTCGGTGGTAGGTGGAACAGGACCCCACTTCGTTACTAAAAGATGCCACATGGCATCATACCTTCGTATGACTGGGCGAGTCCGCACGACAGAATCGACCAGAGCTTCGAACATTGATTTATATAATTCATCTATGTCTTTGAAAGCTTGTCTTTTGAACTCAATCCTTTTTTCGATGAAAGCAATCGAGTTTGTCACAATGTTACTGAGAGGATCCATTTGGCCATGGATAAACCCAGCACTCAAGATTGCCTTTTCTATTTCTGCCAGACTATATCCGGTTTTGAGTAACGAATCTCTGGCTTTAGCATATAATGTTTCAAGCTTGATATAAAGAAATCCCTCTAGTTCTTTTTCGTCATATCCGGATGTACTTGTGCTCACTGCATTACTTATACTTGATTCAGGCTCCTTGTCGATTGTATCAGAACTATGTGATTTATGTTTTCCTTTGCCCTTGGGTTGTTTACCTCTCTTTGAACCAGCCATGGATACAAGCTGTAAACATATAACCAAATAAATGATACAAGAAAAAGCATTGATAGACATAAATGGATCGCAGTATATATATATATATATATATATATATATATATATATATATATATATATATATATATATATATATATATATATATATATATATATATATATATATATGTATGTGTTTGTTTTTT